TCCTTATTGGGTGGTTGACTACTCGCTAGCATGCATAATTCAGACTAAGAGGGCTATTCCTCTGAGACTTTGTCTCTGGTCTTCAGTTCCCCCATCTGCAAAATCCCCCCTCTTTCCTCTCCCCCACTTTTACCTGGCTGCTTGTGAAGTTTGAGAGACCGTTGGGGCAATGGCTGTGTCTGCGCATACATAGCACAACTGAGTTCCAGTCCTGTTTCGGGTTTCTAGGTGCTACTGTTACGCAAATAAACTTAGACTTACAAGGGGTAGAAATAAACTTTTAGCTGAGAAGAAAAAGTTTTGTGGTACTTTTTGTTTACCCCAGTAGCCTGATCAAATGTTAATGATCTGCCACCTTAAACTTTCCAGTGGCATTTTCCATAAAGATGCTCTTATCCATTTTCCCTTCTGTCATGAACTTTTAGGGTATGTCTACACTTGCACTCTCTGTCGAGAGAGGGACGCATATGAAGACATTTGAAATTGCAAGTGAAGCCGAGATTTAAATATCCCGTGCTTCATTTGCATATTCGCGTTATGGTGCTATTTCAAATAGTGCTATTTCGAAATAACAGACGCTGTTAAGACACAGTTATTTCGAGAGAAAACCCTTCTTTTGAAATAACTGGTAAACCTCATTGTTTACCAAGAGCTGACTCCAGGAAGCCTGAGGCAGAGCAGCTCTGCCCGGGGCTTCCCAGAATCAGCCGCTGGTCAGTTTCAGCAGCAGCTGACTTGGGGACGCCTGGGGCAGAGCTGCTGGGGTGCTGCTGGTTTGGTCCAGTAGCGCCGCTCCTCGGCGCTACTGGACCAACCCAGCAGCACCCCATCTGCTCTGCCCCAGGCATCCTGAGGAAGCCTGAGGCAGAGCAGCTCCAATGGTCCGGCTGCGGAGCACTTCCGGGTTCCTGATGGTGCCGGACCATCAGGCGTGCCGGACCGTCAGATGCCGGACCAATGGAGTTTTACTGTACCTCATTTTATTATAGGGCATGTTATCAGCGCTCTGGAGAAAAGGCCCTTTCTATAAATAAAAATATTGGTATTGTGGTCAAAAACAGTTATCCAAATGAATAAGGTCAGCTCATCTGAAGCAGTGGGTTTAGCCCACGAGAGCTCATGAAACGTTACATATATATTTGTTGTCTCTAAGGTGCCACAGGATTATTCATTGTTTTTAAATGTCTAGGCAGAGAATGTGTATGTGCGTGAGAGAGACTGATGTTCTTTCCTTTCTTTTTAGTTCTGGCATGAAAATCCTCCTTTTCATCCTAAAATGTGTCCACCGCTAACCTTGCAAAGGGAATACACTGGCGGGAAACTCTTAACTAGTCTACCACTTGTCTGAAGTTTCTAGACTAGTATTTGAAAAAAAGACAGGGCTAAAAGGACCACGGCCGCAAGCAGTTGTTCATTGAAAATTACGAGTAAAAGTTCTTTTATTCAGTGTCATTGTAGTCAAGTTGGTCCCAGGGCAGTAGCGAAACCTTGCATTTTGCTGGGATGCTAGGCCTCCTATCTCAGACCTGTGGAATTGCTCTGTGTGGCTTAAAAGCTTGTCTCTGTCACCAGCAGAAGTTGGTCCAATACAAAATATTCCCTCGTCCACCTTGTCACTTGAGCATGGTTACTGAAAGAGCAGAAGTCTGAAAAGATCAGAGGATCCCTAGATTCCAAGGACGAGTGGCGAGCATGAATACAGCTTTATGTAAATAGGACACAGCCCTTTCGTTTTATGATTCCAAGGTGCTTGAGAGAGGTGGCTTAATATCACTATGTTAATTGTACAGATGCAAGAAGCTGAGACGTAGAGGAGTTTAGAACCTGAAGCCAGAGAAACTGGAGCTGCTGGAAGGATTCTTATTGAGTTGACTGGGCTTTGGTTCAGGCCATAAATTGCTTATACAGGTTGAACCTCTTTAATCTGGCACTCTGAGGTCTGGCATGATTGGAGTTAGCTGTCTGTCCATTTATGGGTGTGGCCGAGTTTCCTGCAGTCCCATAAAGTTTGTTTACAGCCACCAGTCCTGGTTCTGTGTTCTGTGCTGTTTAGCTTTAATTTACCCCTAAATGTCTTCTAAGAACCCAGTGAACAGTGGGGCTGCATCTAGACTGGCATGATTTTGCGGAAATACTTTTAACGGAAAAGTTTTTCCGTTAAAAGTAATTCCACAAAAGCGCATCTAGATTGGCACGGATGCTTTTGCGCAAAAAGTGCGTTTGCGTAAAAGCATCCGTGGCCAGTCTAGACGCGATTTTACGCAAGAAAGCCCCGATCGTCATTTTAGCCATCGGGGCTTTTTTGCGCAAAACAGGTCTTCCCTGTCTACACTGGCCCTCGTGCGCAAGTATTCTTGCGCAAGAGGGCTTTTTCCCGAGCGGGAGTGTGAAAGTATTTGCGCAAGAAGCACTGATTTTGTACATTACAAAGTCAGTGCTCTTGCGCAAATTCAAGAGGCCAGTGTAGACAGCTGGCAAGTTTTTGCGCAAAAGTGGTCGCTTTTGTGCAAAATCTTGCCAGTCTAGACGCATCCCGGAAGTGCAGATAATGCTGCTAGACAATATTGACCTCCCATGGTTCAACAAATTCTCTGGTTCGGCACAAGTCAGGTCTCAAGGGTGCCGGATGAGAGAGGTTAAACTTGTACTAGGCCATTCAGTGAATTATTGACAAAGCCAAGAATAGAACTCAAATCCCCTCATTTCCAATCCGATACCTCATCCACTAGGCAATGTTTAAGTTTTATATCCTATGTTTATCCTATGGAAGGAGCAGTATCTTGTTCCACATCCCAAGAGTTTCTGGATTGCAGAGGATTTTGTAACCAAACGTGACTGATTTTACAATTACTAGAAAGATGGACTAGACTTGCAAAATCTGGACTTTCTCTAAACTTTCGGGGTCAGGGAAAAGTGATCACATCCAGGATTTTGGCTGGCATCTCTCTCTGATATACAATGCTTCCATTTGTCGTACCCTTCCCTTTTTTGCCACTAGCTAGTCCCCCACCCTTATGCTAATCTCTTTGCTTGCTGGTTTATCTGTGCATATATCCAAGTATAAACTGGTTGGGGCGGTGACCTTGTCTGTGTTGATGCCTCCAAGAGCCACTCATGCCATGTAGATAATTATAAATACCGCTCCAGCTTCCCAAAGACACAATAACCACATGTGTGTGAATTTTAAATGTCAGTGTAAGCAACAACCTACTCCCCCCCCCCCAAAAAAAAGCTGAAGATCAGGATGTCAGGAAGTTAGTTAAGGTGAGAGCCGAGGGAGCAGAATCTCTTGACCTTTGGAAGAGTTATTTCAGGAACACAGTAGCATGAAGAAAACACAAATTTGCCCATCCTGTAACAGAACCGTGCAGCTGGAGACCGTGTCTGCAGGTCAGTGTTTAAAATAAAACCAGTTCTGTAACTGGAAGTCCGCTGTTGTTATCGTTCGTATTACATTCGCACTTAGAGAGCGCCACAAATGGACCGGGTAAAGGGTGGGAGACAAAAAGTAGTAAATATTCCCTGTTTGCAGATGCAGAACAGGCACACACAGGACATCTGTTCGTCCCCTGCATCTAAGGTCAATGCCTTAACACCAGGTCACCCTTCCTCTACAGTGATTCAAATTTCCCACTTGCTAAATAAATCTCATGCGAGAGCAGCAAACCAAAATACACTAATTCATTCATACAATCGCCTTCCAGTCACCTTGAAACCAAAATGTTGGCTGAACCCCAAGCTCTAAAGAGGGGAAAAATTGTTCTTCCAAAAGTGATATTCTTCTGGTCTGCAAGAACCACAGCAAGTCTTCTGTAACTGATACTTTACTGCCTCTGTGACAAGTTCCAGTGAATAAGAATCTCTCTATCGAGGGCAAATAATTTGAAGGCTTTTTTTTTTTTTTACTCTCATAAAAGTAAAGTCCCGTTAATAATTTCTTTCAGCCTGCCTTCAAAGAAGGATTTCACATTGGTTCATGAGCAGCATGGAAAGGAATGTGTAGAACATGAGATTCAAGCATCATCTTCATAGAGAATTGGGGTTAACACCCACAAGAGAGGAAGGAAAGTATTAGGGTTAAGGCTGTGGAATTGGCATCAAATCCCAGCTCTGCCACTGACTTCCTATGTGACCTTGGGGGTGTCATATAATTCCTCTCTACCTCTGCTCCGTATCTGTACAATGGGCACAATACATTTGAACCTCTTTAATCCAGCAATGCTGGGAAACAGGCTATGCCTGATTAAAGATTTGGCTGGGCCATGGAGGGCGCTGCAGGATCTGGGCATGAGGAGTGGTGGTCAGGTACTTACATGTCGCTCTGATGCCAGGGGGACATGTGGCCCCACATCCCACACTGCTCCCAAGCATCGCCTTCCTCTTCACCCCACGCCGTTATGGGAGTGGTGGGGAAAACCGAAGGGGAAGTGCGTTGCTGCCCTTCCTCCTCCGTACCGCTGGTGTTCCCAGATTAGGGACACCCAGAGTAGTGTAATACTTGTGTGCTCCGTCCTTTGTCTGTCTTGTCTCTTTAGATTGTTAGCCCTCTGGGGCAAGGAAACTGTCCTTTGTCTGTCTTGTCTCTTTAGATAGTTTCCTTGCCCCAGAGGGCTAACATTCTTACTACGTTTACATACAGCCCCTAGTACAAAGCAATTCCAATCTCAGTTGAGGCCTGTTGGTGCTACCATACTAGAAATAAGAGGTACCACTACTGTTGAAACACAGTCTTAGCTAAAGAAACAGTCCCACTGTGTCATTTCATAGTAGAAAGTTTTTTTTTTTAGTTTTTTTTTTTTAATGTTTTGCCTTATTTTAGGGCCCATTCTTACTGACTTTGTTCTCCTGCGTGGTGCCTTTGGAGTCAGTGGGACGTCTGAAGTAAGCAAGGCCTGTAGGATCTGGCTCGTGGATTATACGTAGAAAAAAGCGTGTTACTAACAGCTTTGCCTATTTAATTCCTCTGTGTGACGAGTCATTGTCTTTCTGTTCCTTGGCAGGTTGGTACAGAGGATACACGCTCAGAAACAAAGTGAAGAAGGTATGCCATTCTATTTCTCCAGGATAGGTATTTTTGTATGTTAAGTTTTTCCAGAACTTATCCAGCACTGTATGGTCCTTTTTTTCCCGTGTTCATTTCTGCCTTTGGACAATCATAGAATCATAGAATAATAGGACTGGAAGGGACCTCAAGAGGTCATCGAGTCCAGCCCCCCGCCCTCAAGGCAGGACCAAGCTCCGTCTACACCATCCCTGAATGCACGCCTCCAGGTTGGGATGTTCGTTTTGGTTTGTTTTTTCTAGCAATAAAAGTGAACAGCCGTGAGCAAAATGCTGAGAACCATTAACATGACAGAATGTACAGTGGAAGCATTTCAAAAGTTCATGGCAGCATGACAAGTATCACTAGTCCTTCTAGTACTATCCACTGTAAGCATAGGGAATACTGTCTGAACTGGAAGGATTATTCTTTAAGTATGTTTGCTATATAGCAAGCCCTGTGTTTAGTCATTGAGTGCTGCGCTTGCCTTCTGACCGTAGCTATCTAGGGTCATGGGTGAGCCTCTAAAAGTTCAGAATTCGAAAAAGCCTCTATGCATCTTAGGACCTTTTTCAGACTCCTTGACTTGGCAAAACAAGTGTGGAAATCTCACACAACAGCACAACCTCTAATGTGATAAGTGCCGGCTATGCCCCTCTGCCATGTACATCGGACAGTCTCTGCAGCAAAGGATAAATGGACACAAATCAGACATCAGAAATGGTTTCTCACACAAACCTGCAGGGCGGCATTTTAACCTGCCCGATCATTCGATCATTTAAAATTATAAATGCTTCTACAACAGAATTTCACTAACCAATCACAGAGAGAATCTGCAGAACTAAAATTCATTTACAGATTTGATACCGTTACCTTGTGCTTGAGCAAAGACATTTGGCGCATTTCAAAGCCAATTTCTCCTGCCTTTAATATCTGCATTTCCACAGCAAAAGCTATGTATGGGACACATCCTTCCCATAAAAACGAGCATACTGGGTCAGACCAAAGGTCCATCTAACCCAGTATCCTGTCTGCCAACAGTGGCCAATATCAGATGCACCTGAGGGAGGGATCACAACAGGTAATCATCACGTGATCCCTCTCCTGTCATCTGTTTCCAGACAAAGAGAGGCTAGGGTCACCGTTCCTACCCACCTTGGCTAATCGCCATTGATGGACCTAACCTCCATGAATCTGTCTAACTCTTTTTTGAAGCCTATTAAAGTTCTAGCCTTCACAGCATCCTCTGGCAAGGAGTTCCACAGGTTGACTTTGCGCTCAATGAAGAAAAACTTGTTTCTGTTTGTTTTAGACCTGCCCATTTAATTAGTCTCATTAACACAGGTCCTACAATTGACAGATCCTTCTTCTGCTGTTCTATATATCTCTTGGTTTCTGTTATTCCACTCCAATTCATTTGATGAAGTGGGTTTTACCCACGAAAGCTCACAATTCTGTTTATTTTGGTTATTCTGTAAGGGCACGGCTACACTATAGAGGAAGATCAAAGCTGCTGCTGTTGATCTTCCAGGGTTCAAATTAGCAGTAAGACAGCTGAATTGAACTGACAGGGGTTCTCCGGTCGAGGCCGGCAGTCCTGCTTCCATGAGGAGTAAGGGAAGTCGAAGGGCGAGTGTTCTCCCTTCGACTTCCTGCAGTGTAGACATCGCCAAAAGCTAAGTTAAGATACTTCGACTTCAGCTGTGTAATTAACATAGCTGATATTGCTTAATTCAAAACTGTTTAATTCGACTTTGTCCCGTAGTGTAGACAGAACCTCAGGTGCCACAGGACCACTCATCTCACTAGAACACGGTTTCCCATCAGAATCTCGGCATTTTTGTTCCTGCTCCCATCTGGAATTACAATAGGAGTAGGCCTCCTTCATGGTACTTCTACACTTCTAGTTCCCAGTGGAAATTAAAGCGAAATAAGACTGAATCACAACCTGAAGCACAGTTTTCTATAGAAGGGTGGAAGTTAATTTATTTTTCTTGTTTTATTCCCAGTGAATTCTTCTGTCCATAGTTGTCAGCTTCAGTTGCAGCCCTGTAGTTCTCTCCACCCAACAAATGCCATGGCTCCATGTGAGATTTTAATTATTCCTGCAGTTAGGACAATTTAACCTGGCTGATGTGAGTCTGTAAGATCTCAAAGCATTTCCCCAAAGCAGAGCCCCATTAAAGTGGCCCTGTACGGGGTATGACTTTCACAGCAAATAGGGGGGCGGAGGAATGTTGACTCCCATTCTGCTATCCTATCTGCTGCGCCATGCTCCACTGAAATTCTAAAGCCCTCGTGCATTTTTGCTGCTGCTAACTAGTAAGCATCAGCTGTACTATAGATCCTCTGAGTTATGAACATCTTGGCCATGGAGGTTGTTCATGCCTGTGAACAAAAATGTAGCGTTGTCCTTGCAAATGTTTATCACGAAAACATTGGCTTCATACAACTTTGAAACTTTATAAAAGATATACTGGCATTAGAAAGGGTTCAGAGAAGGGCAACTAAAATGATTAGGAGTTTGGAACGGGTCCCATATGAGGAGAGATTAGAGAGACTAGGAATTTCAGCTTGGAAAAAAGGAGACCAAGGGGGGATATGACAGAGGTATATAAAATCATAAGTGGTGTGGAGAAAGTGAACAAGGAAAAGTTATTTACTTGATCCCATAATATAAGAATTAGGGGCCACCATATGAAATTAATGGGCAGCAGGTTTAAAACAAATAAAAGGAAGTTCTTCTTGACATGGCTCACAGTCAACCTGTGGAACTCCTTGCCTGAGGAGGTTGTGAAGGCTAGGACTATAAGAGGGTTTAAAAGAGAACTAGATAAATTCATGGAGGTTAAGTTCATTAACGGCTATTAGCCAGGATGGGCAAGGAATGGTGTCCCCAGCCTCTGTTTCTCAGAGAGTGGAGATGGATGGCAGGAGAGAGATCGCTTGATCATTACCTGTTCGGTTCACTCCCTCTGGGGCACCTGGCATTGGTCACTGTCGGCAGACCAGATACTGTGCTAGATGGACCTTTGGTCTGACCCAGTGTGGCCGTTCTTATGTTCTTACTATGCAGAAGAAAAATGCTGCTTTCAACTCTTTTAATTTAAAAAAAGCAAATGCAGAAACAGATTCGTTGTCATAAAAAACCAAACAAACGGGGAGTCCTGTGGCACCTTAAAGACGAACACATTTATTCAGGCATAAGCTTTTGTGGGCTCCCTCTTATGCCCATTTAAATTAGTCTTTAAGTGCTAAAAGACTCCTTTATGTTTTTTCAGTTTTTTTTAAAAAGACTAAAATGGCTACCCCTCTTTATTTTTTTAATAGTTTACATTTAACACAGTACTGTGCTGTATTTCCCTTTTGTCTCTGCTGCGGCTTGATTATGTACTTCTGGTTCCAAATGAAGCGTGGGGTTGACTGCTCTGTTCGTACCTATTGCCTGCGTCTAGACTGGCAAGTTTTTCTGCAAAAGCAGTTGCTTTTGCGGAAAAACTTGCCAGCTGTCTACACTGGCCACTTGAATTTGCGCAAGAACACTGACGATCTCACGTAAGAGATCTCATGTAAGATTGTCAGTGTTCTTGCGGAAATGCTATGCTGCTCCCGTTTGGGCAAAAGCCCTCTTGTGCAAATGCTTTTGCGCAAGAGGGCCAGTGTAGACAATGCGGTATTGTTTTGCGTAAAAAAGCCCCGATCGCGAAAATGGCGATCAGAGCTTTCTTGTGCAAAACCGCATCTAGATTGGCACGGACACTTTTCCACAAAAAATGCTTTTGCGGAAAAGCATCCGTGCCAATCTAGACGCTCTTTTCCGCAAATGCTTTTAACGGAAAAACTTTTCCATTAAAAGCATTTGCGGAAAATCATGCCAGTCTAGACATAGCCACTATGTACGTAACTCTGAAGTTCTACTAGAGTTGCTGTGAGATCTGCTTGCTTTACTTAATCCTTTAAATTCAACATGAGCATTTTTACATGATTGTTACAGTGAAAAATGAAACCTTGCTGCAGAACTTTCCTGTTGCCAAAATACATTTTCTAAGGGTTTGACACTGAAGCCCACTATAGTAAATAGAATGATTCCCATTGATTAGGATGGGCTTCACATTCGACTCAAGCATCTGATTTTCATTCCTAGCTTGGATTTTATTTATTCCTACAAAGTTTGACTCTCCCCATTCTCAGCTCCTTGGGAATGTTTGTTTGCTCATCACTGACAGGCACGCAGATTGGTTTTCGGCCTCTTTGGGTCTATAGAAGCAGTTGTCCGATATCTTGAATGTTCTCAAAGGATTACAGATTCAGCTTTCAGGAAGTCTCTGTTCCATGAAGCAACATACCTGATTTAAAGCTGTTCTGCTTTCATGGCAATCATGCTTTGTGTTGGGCTACATCTACATTGGCCCCTTCTCCGGAAGAGGCATGTTAATTTCCAACTTCAGAATAGGGAAATCCGTGGGGGATTTAAATATCCCCCGCGGGATTTAAATAAACATGGCCGTCGCTTTTTTTCCGGCTTGGTGAAAAGCCGGAAAAAAGCGTCTAGACTGGCGCGATCCTCCGGAATAAAGCCCTTTTCCGGAGGATCTCTTATTCCTACTTAATTAACATGCCTCTTCCGGAGAAGGGGCCAATGTAGACTTAGCCTAGGTGTTTGTGCTGCTGATTGGCCAAAGGTGGTTAGTTATTTTAACCAATGCTCAGTGGTATTGACTTTTAGCCGGAGACTAGACTTAAGCGGTCCAGTTCACCGTAATTCGGAGCTGGGAAGCGACTTAACCAGGCTCTGCCCTGTTGTGCTGAGACCTGACCCGGACTAATGGGAATTCTTGTTCCCTAAATCTGCAGTTTGTTTATGGAATGAGCCTGCTGTGCAGAGGGCCTGCTCGTTCCACTGCCCAATATGGAGGGCACAGCGACCCTGTGCCATAGGGAACTCCTCAGTTCTCTGCATGGCAGAGTCCTATACATTAGTGCCCAGTTAGGATTTGGTGATTGATGGGTGCTAAGCTGGGGGCTATACCTCAGGACTGAATTTTGGGAGCGTCAGCAGTGACTCCACCTTCGGCCACGTAGCAGGGAGTTCCACAGCTACATCATGCTCTGCGGGAGAAAATGCTTTTCTATTTGGAAGCTCTCTGAAGAGCTGGTCAACGTGACGTTTGCATTTGGTGATCATGGTAGGAGAGGAGCTTTGATGCTGGAAAGCCATCTAGGACTTCAAAGTGATGAGGAACCCATCACTCCCCGGGACATCAGGCCGTGTTGCAAATCACAGAATCCTAGACAATTTATGGTTGCAGAGACCTCAGGAGGTCACCAGGACCTCAAAGCAGGACCTTCCCCAACTAAAACTTCAGCACCTTTCAGGAGCAAACTCCCTTGAAATTGGCGGGGGGGGGCAAGACCAGGAGCCAAAGCTCTGGACTTTATTTATCTTTGAAGCCGTCCGTTAGCATATCCGAAACCCTTTTAAACTGCTCTGTTTTTCCGTTTGACTCGCACTGTCGAGGGCAGACACCCGGAGAGCACAGTTTTAATGGAAATGTAGATGTCCTTTATTACCCGACCTTGTGGCTTGGTGTGAGGATAAAACTTGGTTGGGCTGCAAATAGAGGAAGCAAAGAGTAATTGTGCAGCTGATTATTGATCCTGGTGGGATATATGGGGGGTGGGAAAAACTTGACATTTTTATGAAGCCAAACAAGTTGTTCTCCAGGAAGCGGACGCTGAGTTAAATAGAAGTGGCAGGTAAATAAAAAAACTCACCTGTAGTTTTCATTCTACATGCTTCATGAAAGCTTGTTGGGGGAAAAAAAAAACTTCCTGTGGAACGTTTTGTATCGATTGTCCAGCGAGAATGCAGGACCCAGCGGAGGTGAGGAATGGCTAGCATGTAGCAGGATCAAGCCCATGCCAAATATATGTTCCATAGAATCATAGAGTTTAAGGCCAGAAAGGCCCACCAGTTCCCCTAGTCTGACTTCCTGCCTGTCAGTGGCCAGCCATGCCACCCGGCGCCTGCCCATTACACCCAGCAACTGAAATGAGACCAAAGTATGGCAGCCCCCAGGAGACCGGGCTGGTGTGTGCCACAGGCAAAGAATAGGAGGCCCCTGCAACATCAGGGAATTGATTAAGTAAGGCCAGGTCTATGTCAGCCCAGAAGGTTGGGTTAAGGGATGCAACTCCAACTACATAAAATATGTAGCTGGAGTTGGCTTACTTTAAGCCGAGCTTGGCACTGTCTTCACAGTGGGAGGCTGAAGAGAGCAAACACTCTCATTGGTTTCCCTTACTCCTTGCAACTGTAAGCAGTAGTGGCGCTAACCAGAGACACCCTCAGCATTTGATTTAGCAGGTCTTAACTAGACCCACTAAATCAAATGCCAGAAGATCGATCTCTGATGCGGCAAATGGAGATACACCCTCCCAATCTGGGGGAGGAAATTTCTTCCTCAGTCTGGTGATCAGAGAGACTGACCATGGGCACAAAAGGCAGCCAGCTAAGTACCGGAGAGTGAAAATGCTCAGTGCCACCTCCGAGCGTTGGCCCTGGTTACATTATGATGAAATGCCTGTATTGTCAGCGTCAAGCACACAAAAACCATGGGATCGGTGGCTTAAATAGTATGATATTTTTAAGTGTTTGGTTCTTTTTCTTTGGCTTCTGGTGTATGAGACTTTAAGATGCACTTGCTTCACATTTTTACGCTTTTCTTCACAACCATAAGGGCTCAAAACTTTTTTTTTTTTAAATTAAACTTGAGATTCTCATGAAATCTCTTCCTGCAATCGGGGCTTTTAGGAAATTAAATGTCACGAGACTCTTGATTAAAAACCAAGATTCTATTCACTGAAACGTCCGGGTGTAAGAAAAGACGAGTGTAAGTGACTCTTCCAGTTGGCTTTATTGCCTTTAAACGGGCTTTGTTAGCAATCTCCCATCATGTCAAGAGTGGTGTTTTGCTATGTCGATTCCAGTAACCACATGACACCTTCAGGCTGGCGTTTAACTGGACTCTCATTCCTTTGGCATTGAATTGATCACACAGTGAAACTTCACTGGAATGAAGATCCATTATGTTTTTACTGGCATTTAGTGGACCAACTGGCTGCAGAGTCCTGGGTTCCTTTCCATGTGATCTTCTTCTGATTTCTCTCCTCTTACGACAACAGTGATAACTTTAGGCACTGTTTATCAATGCCTCCTGATATACCCTACTATTGTAACCCATGCTATCTAAATTAAAGCTAGAAAGATATGTTGGCTCAGGCTACAATCACACATTTGCTTGCAGTTTAGACATTCACAATTTTGTTTAGCACATAGTTACTATCTCATAAATGGGAAGTGCTTTTCAGTCATCATTTAAGCCTTTAGAGGCCATATTTTCTTTATTTACGGCCCGAGAGATGACCTAGAGCACAGGAAAAGCAGTCAGGATTCCTAGGTTCTGTTCCCAGCATAGCTGCAGGCTCACTGCATGACCATGAGCAGCCATGCTAGACAAAGTTTTTTTTTAAAGTGTCTGCTAATTTGGGGAACTTCAGCTTTTGGGTACCCAGTTCAAGATTTCTAAGGACTTTCTCCTTAGCAATGCTGAACAACCTCAGAGCTCATGGAAGTCAGCAGGAGCTGTGGACTTTTGAGTTTGGGCACCCAAAAATGGAGGGTCGTAAAAATTAGCAAAAACTCTTGGACTTTTTGGTCTTGGCCTCTTGGTGCATCAGTTTTTCCAGTCTGTAAAATGGGGACAGTGCCTACTGGCCAGGGTGTCCCGAGGCTTAATCAATGCTTTAACACTTTCCAATCCTGGAATGAGAGGTGCAATTGAAGTGCAAAGTTGCATCCTCTACCACTGAGTTCCTGTCTCTTAACCCCTTTTGGCTCCATTTTCCCCAACTTTGTAAAGCCATTTGAAAGTAACAGATAAATTGGTCTACAAGTACATAGTACTGTATTATCATTAGTTTTTCCTGGGATTTTTTTACGTTTCCATTCGAGCTGACATAATACCAGCATAAAAGAAGAGACCCCAATCTCAATGTGTATTGCACTAGAGTTGTTGGTTATTGGATTGAATTTTAGCAATATTTATTTGGCATGTGCCTTGCAGCTTAGCTGATCCTATTATAGTTTCCCCCTCCTTGTGGGTGAATGATATATCAAATCTGACATGGTTTCTCTTTCTCTCTCTTGTAGGGCATTTTCCCCAAAAGTTACATTCATTTAAAAGAGGCAACCGTGGAAGACCGAGGGTAAGTTGGAGACAGTCGGGAGATACCACGTGGCTGGCAGAGATGATGGGTAGCATTTCATAAGAGCTTACATACATGCTACCTGTTGTACATGCTAGTGGTGTTTTGCATTGCAAGTTCCGTAATTCCTATGTAGCCTCTTGGATCAGAATTATTTCTGGTTTTGCCAAACCATTGTACAACCCACATTGGACACATGAATAGAAGCAAAATTTTCTCACTTGCAAGGGTAAAGGTGAAATCTCCTAGGAATGGATATGGCAAGCCAGCTCAGTCAGCTTCACATTCAGTTCTTTTGGGGTCTCATAGCCAAATGGGCTTTAGAAGTGTGTGAATTATTTCCTGTCCTAGTAAACATCTTAGGAAATCATTGCCAATCTGAATGATAGAATCATAGAACTGGAAGGAACCTCAAGAGGTCTTCAAGTCCAGTCCCCTGCCCTCATTCTTGCATTTGATTTGCTGATCAGCTTTGAAAGGGGACAACCAGCAGCGATAGAAAGCTTCCAAAGGAAATTTTTAATCTCTATATAGTCAAGTAATTACTGAAAGCAACAATTCCTCAACTGGAAAACTGAATGGGGTCAAACATGTCTCTTCAGCATTCAATTTCTGGAGCAGATGCAAAAAAATCAAGATGAAAAGAAACTTGAAACATGTTTGCATTAAAAATGGGAAAACACATGTAATTGAGAGAAACCCCCAGAGCCATTGGAAAGTTTTAGCATCTTAGGCCTGGTCCGCACTATAGCAGAAGGTCGAAGTAAGATACGCAATTCCAGCCACGTTAATTACATAGCTGGAGTTGATTTATCTCAAGTTGAGTTTCCACACTCCTCGGAAAAGTAGTACTGGACACCGGCGAGAGTACCCTCTGAGTTTGATTTAGCGGGTCTTCACTAGACCCGCTAAATCAAACCCCAGAAGATCAACCATGGTGGCATCAATCTTCTGTGTAGTGAAGACCATGGCCTTAGTGTGGTTAATGTATCTTTTTATCTTTTTTTAATCCATCTCTAAAATTTAAATACCTTGCAGAGCTGCAATTTTGTTGTGATTTGATTCCCCTCCTCTCCCAAATGCACTTTTAAAAACTTCTGCAAACTTCTAGCACAGTGTTACTCTTGCACTTCCAGGTTTAATTCCTCTCTGACTGAGCGGTTGTTTAAGTTAGAGGCTTATATGTTGTATGAGTCATCTTATATGTTGTATGAAAAAATATAAATCAATTTATCTGATTTGATTCTGCCACCTTTTAATTTCATTACCTGTCCCCTTTGTGGGTTTTCCCTCCCACTCCAGACAACATGAGACAGTGATTCCAAGCGAACTGCCCCTCGTTCAAGAGCTCACATCCACACTGAGGGAATGGGCAGTCATCTGGCACAAGCTCTATGTGGTGAGTGTTTCACTTTCTTCCTTTGTTGGTGTCTGGTCCTGGAAGAGGGGACAGGATTGCTCCGCTCCGCGTGTTTAAACAGAAATAGGCAAGAGATTTGGACATCCCCATCTTTTCCCCATGCATCCAGCAGCTGATGTTCCTCTTGAGCATGCATGCTTTGTATGAAGATGGCCTCATTGCTCATTTTCACCAGTAGGACGGTTTGTTCTGGGAATTGGGCCCACTTTATTGTAAAATGTGTTTTCCCCCTGACTGGTAGATCTTCCCGTCTGATGTTGGCTAATGCAATTCCAGAGCTGGAAACAGGGGTTTGATAGGAAACCAAATGTTTTAAGTCAGAGGTCTACAACCTATGGCTCTCCAGACAGAACCAAATCAGGCTCTTTTGTTGTTCCCAAAATGCAGGCAACTTTTTACATTAAAATGGAAAATGAATTCAACATTTTAAAAATGCGTCATTACTCGTGTCGTTGGAACGCGCGCACAAACCTGAATTGGACCAGTTATCATGTAAACGTCGAAGACCTGCATGAAAAGATGCAGCAGCAGAAGTCCCATGAAATAAAATCTTTGAGACCGATGTTTCATTTAGTCTATTAGTCATCCTCATGTCAATTATCAGTAACATTAAGTGGTATATTTTCAGTCCCGCAAGTGGAGATTCTAGCTCTTTGTTGGCCACTTGCTCTGAAATTTGATGTAGTTTGGCTGTTTGGTTTGAAAAGGTTGCCGACCCCTGGTTTAAGTGCTAGATGAGATGGATTTCTGAGCTCTATTGTCCTCCGAACTCATTGTGTGGTCTAGAGTGAGTCACTGATTCACTCACGTTAATAGTGAAACATCTGTTGAATTGTGGCTTATAATTTCCCTGTGCTTCCATTGCTCAGTCGACAAACTCAGCTATACTGAAGCTTAGTGTCTGCAGTGCACTTGGAACTTCTACTTAAAGATCTCACAGGAGCATTGCTATAAAATAAGGAGATGGAGAAGAAGTGGTTTATTGCTTAGAAGGTGAATGAGAGGACAGGACTTGTAGGACTAAGGTTCTATCTACTCTACAAAACAGGTACTGCTCTTCAGGAATTGAGTTAGAAGACATGTCACGCACCAGGATCGGAATTCACCAGGACAAGTCATAATCAGTGTTGGGGTCAGCTGATTGGGAATGCTTGTGTGAGTCACGGTTGCCAGCGTGACAACCATCTCTGTCTGTCTCCCGTGTCTGTCCGATTTAGTGACACAACATGGGTGTATGATTCAAGTCCTGAAGCCTCGGACTGACCCCGCCACTGACTTTCTATGCACGTTGGAGCAAATTGCTTCATCTTGCTTGGTTTCAGGGACGGGGCTAACATTTCTTAGCTACAGTTGCAGAATGCTTTGAGATCTCTGACAGACTGGTGCTGGGTATGTGCATGAGAGAGATGTATGTATGTATTTTTATAAAAGGTCAGCATATCTATAAAATATAAATACTTCTGGGGTTGCCTTTTCTAGAGTAGATACAATCTCTGATCTGATCTTTCTCGGGGGTGTGGGGAGTTGTGTCATTAACATAATTGATGAAATAAGACTCAGAAACTTCCGATGCTGTGGAAGGAAGAGCCATCTCATTAATAGTTTTCTATTTCAAGGACAGC